GTTACATCGCATTAGACCTTGTTGTGCTATAACATACACGCGGTAAACTGCTTTCCACATACCATATATTCTTGTAAGGATATGACTGTGGTGCTTTATCATGCTATGCCACATGATACCAAATCGCCACATGTTCACCATGTCACTGTTCTAACATACTTCAACGAAACACGATTTTGTGTTGCATGTGCTGGCTTGAAGTACGCAAATCATTCCGTGGCCACGGCGAAAGCACCAAACAGTGGGATCTTCTGTTCGGGGCCTTCGGCTTACGGAAATGATTGCAGGCTTGATGCGCTTACGATCGCAAAGCAAAACCGCGAAGTGACCACGAAAGCCGACGCATCCTGAAACCAATTCTGAGCCCCTGTTCTTGCTCCCCGCAGGTCTGTAAATGTCCCTCGACCCGGTCCTGCGCTGTTGCTCCGAAGACCTTCCTCGGAAGCAGCACATTCCGCAACTGTGGTGGACACATTCGGGATCAAGGTTGTAGGAGGTGCTGTGAAGATCATTAGTGACATGGAACGGGACGGGCTCAAACAGAGCCTTGATCAGCCGACAGCGGAGGCAGAAATCTCAGAAACGTCTGAGTTCTGGTCTAGATCTCCAGCCCGTTCTTCAACCCCCCCCCACTCTCAATTGCCAGGGTGGATCCAGCTTTCTGCGCTCCCGATTCAATTTCATGCCAACACCGCTGTAGTGTGGCTCGCAGTGGATTGAACACGGGCATTTTCTTCTGCACGATACGCACATATACTGTCTTAAGTATTAAACATCACATAGCATCATGACATAATACAATACTAAATACCACGGACGGCCGGTCGAATTCGAGTGCTACACCATGAATGTGGAGAGCCGAAGAGAGAGTAGGATTAAAGGCATGAACGAGTCGAACATCGAACACCATAGGACGTCACTTTGACAGCTGGTGAGAGGGTGCTGGTGAGAGGGCGGTCAGTGCTTCTTTCGGAAGGGGGAAAACCTGGCATTCAATGAATGGACTGGGTCTGAATAATTGGGATACTAACATCCTGCAATGACCAGAATGAACTATTCTGCAACGAATTTAACATCGAAACAGGCGATGCCACCCAAAACCAACCAGCCGTAACGTTGAAAAACAACAGGCATGTGACAGCTTCAGAAGTTACATAGCAAAGCCACATGTCTCAAGAAAAAAGGCCTTGTAGAGGTTACACCACACATTGGAGTCACAGTGTGTCTTGCTCGCGGAGGATGCTGAGAAGAAAAACTAAGACCTAGGTACGTTGCATCCTCGAGAGTACGATACGGCTTTGCGGCAGTCGACAAATACATGTTGAAAGCTTCTGTATAGTTCCGCTGCGTTGTTTGCTCTATCGTTTGTCGTGCAACACGAAAATATGTTCTCATTCCTTCAGCATGAGATGAATAACTGGAGAAGTCGTTCATCATTGATGCAGGCGTCTTTCTGGGCTACCATCTTTCAAAACAGGTCAGCACATGAAACGATCAAAAGCAAACCTCCGCTGAACGGCTAGCAGACAAAGCTGGAATCCCAGCTGGTGCTTGCAAAAAGCTGCAGCATACTCTGGGCCCGTATCGAAGGAGCTCTCGCCAAGGGTGCAACCAAGGGTCTCGAGGCCGAGCTGGCAATAAAAAGAAGCTTGCGGGGGAAGTTAGCGACTTGGCTACTTGTGCAAGGAGTCGCATCACTCTTGAGGAGAAGGGCCTCCGATTAAGGCTGTGATATGCTGACTGGTTGGACCCTTCAAGAGTTTCATGTGCCACGGCACCTCACCCAGTATTCCTCTTGAAGCCATGGCACCTCCCTGCTGTTGCGTCCAAGGCGCCCTTTAGCAGCATTTGGCGCCCGCAGCACAACAGGGCCTCAAAGGCAGAATGGCACCGAGTGAGGCCTATGGACGGACTGAAGGGCCTCTCACTCTACCTCTCGCTCTGCGTCTCTCTGACCCTCCTTTTTGCCGAGCCCAACGCGCGCAGGCTCCGCCGGGCCGGCCACGAAACTCGGGGCCGTGTCCATCTCAGCTGCGCCGTCCTAAGACACGTGTCTTCCAAGCCTAGTCTGCTGGGGCAGCTTGGAGTCTACAGTCTACAGTAGCCTCCCTGATTTGCTGCCTGCGGGTACGAGCCTACCCAGTACAGCGACACTCGCAGCTAGGCAATGGATCAATGACTCTATGCAGTACATGAGTCGAAGGGCGAATATGTGGTCCAGTCAGTTTCAGTGAGACGAAACAGAGACATCACAACTGCCAGCACGCACTACAGAAGATCTCAAACAAAGGACTGCTGCCACTCTGTAAAGAATCCACTGCGACGTTCGCGTGTGTGAGGACGTCTGGAAGAAGTCCTGCACCAGAGTACCAGGCCTTGAGACTGGTACGAATGTCAGGGCCAAGAAGTACTGTGCCACTGGGCTTTTGGATGCCATTTTAACAAGCCCCCCTCTGTTCTCCAAGCAGTGGCGCATGAAACCCTGGATGTGCCGGATTCAGACTAGTCTCGGAGCGCTTCTCGGCCGGAAAATCGCGATGGGCTCGGAGCACGATATCGTAGCTTGAGCCGGAGGCACAGCCAAGGCGAGAACGCAACACCACTGCACTCTATCTGAGCTTTTGCGTTGCGCTGCATAGTGCAAGCTGGAACCGCGATTTATTAGCCACAAGAAGTTCAGAATTCATTTGCCCCACACCCCCTGGCTCAAAGGCGAACACACAGCATCACAAAACTGTATATATATATATATATATATATATATATATATAAATAATTTGTGCACATGCACAATATATGTGATTACGAAGATCGAACTTTCAAAATTAAACCCCCCACACATCTATGAAGTTGTTAGAGACCATCGGCAGCATTAGCCTATATCAGCCTTCTGTGGCGAACAGCAGGACTGCAAAAGTCGTTCTGTGTCAGGGCGGACCGCACCCCGAAAAGACTTGACCAAGCACCAGGGTCCTGGCCTCTGGGAAGGCATAAACGCACTGCAGAGCGATGCATAGCACAACATTTCACCTGCCGTGTCTATCGTAGCGTGACAGAGTGGATGCACCTCCGAGCAAATCGCTGAGGAGCACTGCAAGGAATCATCAGACTCTGCTTCCACGCTCGTGGCGGGAATCACTTGAAGCTATTAACTTCGTTCGCTTCTCGTCGGTCGCGGCTGTGCGGCGGCGGAGCAGGCACCTCCAGATACATGCCGTCGACTGAAAGATAATGGTTGAGACCAGCAAGGCCAGCCAACTGGCAAAGGAGGTGTGGTAGAGCCAGGTCGTCATGAATGCTTCAACAAGTGTTAGAACCACCAGCGCCCATGCTAATGTCACTTCCAAGTAGTACCAACATTCTGGACCCGGACATGATTCCCTCCGTTTCAATGTCATAGCAAGGGACATCTGAAGCTGAGCCATCATGCTGTTCAGCAGAAAGATGTGGTCAGAGAAGTAAAAATTGTACGGATGCACACAAATGAACATGACAGTGCGCAGTGCTGTCATGACAGCCCACCAGACGATAACAACACACCACCAAGGGCACCACCACGAGAACTTCGGATCCGTCTTTTCCACCGTTGAGGTGTAGAGTTGCATGACGAGGAGCAGGTACGGCAATAATGGTCCATCCTCCGCAATCAGATCGTTGACGCTAGCCGATGCTCGTGGCAACCACCACGTCTCCTGCACAACGGCATGTCGAATAGGTCTTCGACAAGGAAACACAGCATTTTGACTTTCTGAGCTCACACATTGCATGAGCGAGCCGATGCCAAGACCTTCAAGAATGTCTGGGAATACAGTGGCACATAATAGCACCACAACCAGCAACAAAAATGGCAACGCCCACAGCAGCGCACGCGTGAATGAATTAGAGGCCATGGGACTTAGTATGCGCAGCAAAGAAAGGCTAATAAATGGTTCAGAAATGACTTCAGCCAGCGATTTTGACTCAAAATCTGCTCCTCTGCTCATTCCCTTTTCAATGATTTCTCATTATATGGATCTGCGCTACTGCAAAAACGGCGACGGGCCAGAGAGCATGCTGGAAAGGCTGAACGTTACTCGCTGACGCGGAGTTTGAACTCATTAAGAAGTCGTCGCATCATGCTCTGATGAGCGGATGAACCCGTCCGCAGAACGCAGCTGCATGTTGTCAGGCAAGGCACCTGCGGCATTTTTTCCAATAAAAGTGGCGCTCGACAAGCTTGCGGCCACAGCACCAAGCAGCGACTCTGAGTCGAGAGTGCGTGTGCAATGAGTGCACTAGAGCATCTAGATAAGCTTCTTCTGAGGTCTGCATGCCCTTGCTGAAGGCTATGTCTACGAGCCTGGCACGGCCTCAGGCTCCGCACCGAGCCGTGCGGGTACCGTGGCACGGAATCCGGCCCCGGACCCTTGGAGGACCGGAGCCGGCGAGCTACACCCGGACGTCACAAGGCTTCGGTGCTTGCAACATCCGTGGCGACATTCCGCTTGCATGCTCTATGGCCAGGTTGGATCTTGCTATCCAGCGGTGTGATGTGGGCACTGTCTTCCCAAGCTGCTGCTCTCTCAAACATAGGCACGGCTTACCGCGTTGCATAATCGTCGATAGAGTTGAAGTGAAGCTCAGTAGGGTGCTGAATGTCTGGCGAGGCTTTCGGCGAAGCTAGCTGAAACTTTTCGTTCGAAAGCTCATTCCAGCGATGTTAACCGCCTGCAGCAAATTTGTGGAGAGGTGTGTAGAAGTGGTGTGTAGTATACTGTTTTGGCTGCGGTTCGAAACAGTTGAACAACTGGTGAGCAGGAATAAAACACTTCTGACGGTCACGACAAACTACACTGCAACGCAACGTTCATGTCATAACCTGTGTAAACGGTTGTTCAGTGCAGCAGCTTTCTCAGCTCTGATACTGATATACCCGGTGAACGAAAGGTATGCTTGCAAAGCAAACCGGCCACAACAAGCACACGACGCAGCTCCCTGCTTCCCCACAATCGCCTCCAGCACTATCGTCGTCCCCAGCCTGGAATGTAAGTAATTGAGCTTTCTCACTCAGAGACCTAGATTTACTATGAGTTCCTTTGCAAGGACGAAGACAAGAGATGGCTGAGTTGTCTTACATATAATTCATGGGTCCACAAACAGTGTAGCACTATGGGCTCCTTCCATGCAGAGTATCCCATCGCATCCTTGACCATGAAGAGGAAACTGCTTGGAATCAGGTCGGCTCCACTGTTCTGCGCGAGCTTCTCGAGCTCCTGCGGACTTTGAATTGGGAGCTTCAGAAGACAAAATTAGGATCCCCTGGTTCTGAGACTCCCAGAATGCCATAAGCCCGCGCCGCTCATAAGACCTTGCAGCTCTGCCGATGGTCTGCCTGCCCTCGAGATACATCCAACCAAAGAAATCCGCATGAGGCTCGAGCGTGTGCTCGGCAAGTAGATGAAAAGAAGCGACAAACACAGATAGACAATCTCAACCAGCAGTTGAGTAGGCAATGGCCGTGATCTCAAGTTCAGTAGCCGCGTTCTCGTTTAGTCTAGTTCCGGGCTTCACAGCCAAGGGTTCAAAAAAATACTTCTCTGGCTGGCAAATACTTTTGGGGAAGGGGGTTAGCCAGGCTGGGTAGAAACAACCCCCCCCCCCATAAAACGCGAATAATATACTACTACATCAATTTCATGTAGCCTTCTACCATAATACAACGCAATATAAAACGTAAAATATCAAGGCTTAGCCTTAGGGTTGAAGGCCTCGCTGAAATAACACCCGGTTTTCCGACAACTCTACCTTCCCTTGCTTGAGGTAGGTTTGCTTGTTCTCGACTGCCGGTTACAGGCATACCTAGGCTGTCTGTGTACTATGCACCCTGGGTTTTGAGCGCTAGCCTGGTGGCGTTGGGATGTTTCGGGGCTTGGGGGTAGGACTGGCTCTGCCTTTCATCCCTTCGCGTGAATTTGTTGTCATTAGGACGACCAAATCGTGATGGTCCAGACTGAAACCCAACATTTTCGAGCCTCCTGATCCAAGCTGCAACGCCAAAGTCGAAGGCTAAAGACAGACCCTGTGCATCCGAGATCCTCTGGCACTTGTTGGCTGGCTTCTCTCAGCACGCTTATGAGATCCTCCAAGCAAGAAAGCGTCGGAAGTATCCAAACTTTCGATGACAATTGCTGTGGAGATACGACAATTTGGGGTATTGCTATGACACCTGCCCATCATGCAGGATCTGAAGAACATCACTGTCCGAATTGGTCGTGACGGTCGGCTCCTGTTTCACAGTCCGCATCCTCAGCCTCATCCCCTTGCACCGTTGTGATAATCATCATCATCGTCGTCATCATGAAGAACTGCTCGATTCGTAGTTGCCATCGTCACCAACTCATTTATTTGCAGCACAAGGAGCAGGAGGAGCATCTTAAAAGGGCTTACTATCTCAACAACAGCTGTCAGAACGTTACGTGGCCGTCCTTCGCGTGCTTCGCTTTGTCAGACGTGAAGAAGGTGTAGGCCGAACCTGCACTTTGATTGTATTGCATGTTTTGCAAGCTGCAAGCATGCTGAGACTGGAAACACCGAATGGCCCTTGCCTGTGGCTCCAGCACGACCAGTTCGACCCACTCGGTGAACGTAGTCCTGCTGTATTAGACCAGGCTCTGGGGTTCAAGCTTGCCCTGGCAAAGCAGTTCCCACAGCCGTGTGGCAAAGCAGCATGGACAGGTCGAACGTGCAGTCCTCGATCTGGTTGGGGAAATCATAGTTAATCACGTACCTGTCAACTGACGAAGCCTGCAAGTGACCCGAGGATTGACGATAGACCATGGGACTCGGACTGAACCTTTCAATGCGGGTGGTAATTGCGCTGCCCAGCATGTTGCGAGAGCGACCGGTCATGGTGTGCAGCTGGCGCACTTGATGTCCTGGCCGGCTGGAAATTAATGTGCTGACTCTCTCAATCATACAACCTAACTGTCACAAACAACTCATGAGGCCAACAGCACCAAGGTAACAACAACTGCAACAAATTCAAAACATACTATGGCAACAGTCGTAACAATCTTGCCGGTGTGTGGTATACGACAAAAGCTTTCAACGCAGTGGTGGTAGTCGTAGCAGTCCAAGGAGTGCTGTAGCTGTAGCAGCAATAGCCATCAGAATAAAATTGATAGTAGCAGTAGTGGCAGTGGTAGTAGAGTGGTGATGGCAGCAGTAGTGGCGGTGGTAGTAGAAGTAGTCGTCGTAGCAGCAGCAGCAGCAGTAGTAGTAGTAGTAGTAGTAGTAGTAGTAGTAGTAGTAGTAGTAGTAGTAGTAGTAGTAGTAGTAGTAGTAGTAGTAGTAGTAGTAGTAGTAGTAGTAGTAGTAGTAGTAGTAGTAGTAGTAGTAGTAGTAGTAGTAGTAGTAGTAGTAGTAGTAGTAGTAGTAGTAGTAGTAGTAGTAGTAGCAGTAGTAGTAGCAGTAGTAGTAGTAGTAGTAGTAGTAGTAGTAGTAGTAGTAGTAGTAGTAGTAGTGGTGGTAGTAGTAGTAGTAGTAGCAGTAGCAGTAGCAACAGCAGTAGTAGCCGTAGTCGTGGTAGTAGTGGTAGCAACAGGAGCAGTACCAGCAGGAGTAGAAGTAGTAGCAGTAGCAGGAATAGTAGTACTAATTGGAATAGTCGTAGTAGTGGTAGTACTCGTCGTCGTCGTAGTGGTAGTGATAGTAGGAGTAGGAGACGGAGTCGGAGCACGAGTAGTGCTAGCAGTAGTGGTAGTGGTCGGGGTAGTGGTAGGGGTAGTTGTCGCAGTCGTAGTAACAGTAGTAGCAGTAGTAGTAGTAGTAGTAGCAGTGGTAGTGCAGGAGTCGTGGAGTAAATGCTGACTCGAAGCGGTGTGTTGGTGGTCGTGCCGGTAACATCCATCGTTATGACATACGCACTTGGAAATACCGAAGTAGAAATGACACATTCAAGGCAAGTCCAAGTGCAACGGGTCCTTGACATCCAGACCTCGTGAAGCCAAGTCAGTCGCCACGAGAATCGGGTTTTTTCCTTTAGAGTCAGCACGGCATGCAACGACATGCACGACGGTCAACGCGACATCCAGCATCTTGGACAAGGAGTGATGCATGGTTCGAAAGAGGAACAGGAGCAAGCCGTGGTCCTAGGTCCTAGGCATGACACGCATTAGCAGGTCCTTCTTTAAATTCTTTCATCACCCAATCTCGTTCCTGCGGCGCCGCGGGGCGAGCAATTGGGAGGGGGATGCATCGAAAAAATGAAACCGCATTAGAAGTAGCTCATCGCCCAAGTGTTGTGAGATTCCACAGCGCTGCAACAAGCGTGAAAGCCCCAGTTTTCTCTGAGTCTCATCGCACGGCTACAATCTGATGGCCTGGCCTCCTGCTTCTTCTCGCCATGTATGCACAGGGCTGGGAACCCATCAGTCCTGCGGAACCCGGAGCATGCGTACATCAACTGCTGCGCAAGTACAGAGCCTACGAATCTCAGAGGATTCAGAAGCAGAACCTCGTAGCATCGGCTAGCACATGCAGCAGGGAAAAGTAAGGCCGCAGTGTCGAAACCCCAATGCACAGTGGCCTCATTTCCCTCGTCAGCTCATCGCCCCCTCTCTTCGTCTCACAGAAGATGAGGATCTTGGAGCCGTCCATTACCTTTGCAAGCAGGCCCAAACCCGCCTGGGCTTTGAATTACATTCCGGAGCATGCAAGATCTGCCAAAGCAAACGATGCCCACGAAACGTTGCACTTCTGGCTTCACTCCCTGCGCAGTGCACCTTCTCGAGCAATCTTCTGAGTCGTGATCGCTTGTCGCTTTCCTGACTCACGTTCTATAGTCGACTGTGGGCTCACTGAAGGATGATCACCGCTTTGTGAGGTCCGTCATTGACAAGTAGCTAGCTGCGTCGAAAAAATTATGCCAGTGGGAGACAGGATTGGCAAAAAAAAGCGTCCTGAACCACCTCGACAAACTGCCGGATCGTGTGCGCTGTGCGTAGCTCGTTGGCACCCACATTGATATGCACAGGATCCTGGAAGCTCGGAGAAGGACTCGGGATTTCGATTCAAGGCCTATACAGGCTAAGCCATACCATACACATGCTTCCGATTCAAGGACATCGCAAAAGAAAAGACTGGCGATAGCAATTCCGTAGCAGCAGTTCGTTCTGGCGGCGACAAACCTAAGGCAGGCTTGACATTTGGCTGCTCGGGAAAACGAACTGTCTCAACACCCCCTGCCAGTGCTGAAAAAAAAAAACCTTGCATTTGGCTTTCGTCCCGGCCCGTGTGTCGGTGCTTCTGCTTCAGTGTCAACGCGAAATACGAGGTGAATCCGGACTCGTGCTGTGGACGAAGCCGCACTGAGTACGTGCGATAAGCTCTCGATGGGGTTGCGGGATTCAGCTCTAAACATGACAACGTCTTGCGGGCCACCCATCTCTGTGTTGCCCATGCCGGCAGACCGAATAAAGCAGTACTTTGCTTTGCTTTCAAACAGCGATCTACTTCCCGTCAACTAAACTGCGGCGTCAATCGCTCATGCTTCAATGTATACATAAAGGCACATACAGTCACATACACATGCTTACGCACATGCAAATCCTCAAGCCGAACATTTGGAGTGCTCATTCGGAGTGGTGGCTATGGCCAGTATGTCCGTCCTCTCGGCAGATGTCGCGGGCCAGTTTCTGGACCTCATCCATGGGACTTTAGAAGGCGAAGGTGGCTCTGCAAGGCGAAAGCGGCAGCAAACACGACCCCAATCAGGCTACTTGTAGGAGGCAACATCATGCCTCGTCCGTCACTGTGTGAGAGCACTTTTGGCATGTGAATCGATTATTACAGCTTATCCTTGCCCGCCATGTCTCCGCTCCTTAACCCAGACTCCACGCTTGACCACACAAACTCAGCACGGGCCCTGGCATCTTTGGGCCAGGTGGCACTCCACATCCTCTGCGTCGCAGGACATAATAAGCTTCAAGGTTCTGGGCTGTCGGCGTTGGTGCTTGTTCAAAGCTGGGGCATATTTCGATATGGAATGATTATGGGAGGAGCTTTTAGAGGAAGGCGCGTGGGTTACCCCAGCGTCTCATACCAGTAGCCTGGTGCCTGCATCCCTTACAGCAAGTCCCACACCCAGAACAGCAAACACGACAATAAACAAAGCCCAAGAGTCAGTGTCTGTCGGTCTGGTCGCACCTCCAAAGCTCGGCGGCGGCTGGATTTCTTTAGCTTAAAGTTCTTCGGGCCGACGTAGGCAATCCATGACAGGCTGCAGCTGAGGACCACGACAGTGACAATTTTTCCGTGACTATGCTGGTTATGATGGTGATCGTATGTGATCGTGAAGTTTGTGCTGATGACGACCATGACGGCGCTGGTGACCCCCAACACTTAAACTCCACAAACACAAACAACACCCACCTGGACCAGCCTGGACCAATAGCTATCAATAGCTGCAGCAAACAACGACCAAAACAAAACCAAGGAGTTGGAAGGGTGGGAAACCGTAGCGAACCTTTGGGGGATCTTGCTGCCATATTATATCAAATTATATCTTGTATCTATATACTGAATGTTGTACGTGCAATTATATATTGTTACATATTAAGGGATCTTCTTTGCCGGCCTGAGAGCAAATCTTCCGGACCTGGGGCTCGAAGCCCATGTCCAGCATGCGATCGGCCTTTCGCGGCTCGGGCTCACTGAGCTCTTGGAAGTCTTAGTGAAGCTATACTGCCCTATGCTCCATGATGTTGAGAGACTGCCGTGATACTCCGGCACCGGGTGAGGGGTCCTTCTAGGCCTACGGAAGCGACTGAGACTTCACACGCTAGCGCTTCTTTCCAAGCAACGGGCCGGAACAAATTGAACTCCCTGCGGCATGGGAACCTCCCGACTCGCCGGCCTCGTCTAGGACCAGGTACGTGACTCGTTTGAGGTTCGTGTCACCTGCCAATGTCTGCTGCAAACCCATTTGAACCGAGCATCACAACGACCGGGGCGCTTCGCTGGGCAAGGTGGATTGCCCTTAACACAGTTTTCCCAACCGATTCGAAATTCTCAAACCATCCCGACCACAATCTCGCAGGGACGGCCGCTACCCAGAAAATCGATCAGCCGCCCTGGGGTGGCGATCACGATCTCGACCTAAGCAGCTTCCACCATCGGGCATGCTTTGTAGCCGGACCGATGAATGTATCTGCTTCCCAACATGTCTGCATTCTGCAGTCGCATTCGCACACTCGAGCCTGCTATTTTTACATATTTTCAGGATAGAAGCCAACAAGTTGGATCATGGGCTCAGGACGGTGCTTGCCTTGGTTTCTCTGTGGGTTTGGGTTTGGGGGGATACTTAGCGTCGTTCCAATTCTGTCGCTTCTACCGTATGGCTTCCGGCAATCTGGAGCTGAATGCGGTCTTTATGACCACTGCCTTGCTTCTCATGTACGGAGAAACTAATTAAGCTGAGGGAAATGCTCCGTCGCGGAGATCCTTTTGCTGAGGACCTCGTGCCACCCCGCCATAACCTTTCGGTGCAACAGCAAGGGATTTCAATGCGACATTGTGAGCATAGCCTGACATGCCAGGGACAACGAGCCAACCGCAGGATGCTGGTCGGATGACATGAAGTGGTACGATGAATGTCTTGACTTGGAAACATGTGCCGGTGCATGAAAGAGATCAACATGCCGGTGCCACAGCAGGTGTTCTTGATCTGCGAACTCTTCCCGAATCGATTGCTCTCCTCCTGTGCAGCGAGACTTGCTGCCACAATGTCACAACACTATAGGCTAACACTTTCCTAATGCAAACGCATACGTGCAATGCGGATTTCTGCGCTGCTCTCCTGGATCTGGACTGCCAGCTCTCGTGTGGGAGCGAGCACCAGCACAATCGGACCATCACCCCTTTCGAGGAATGGCTGAGCCTCAGCGACTTGAGCAACTCGTCCCGCCTCTGCTCCTCTTGATGGAGGCTTCCGGCATCGATAGATGCAGCATTCGTGTAGTGGCAGTCGTCGTCCCGCAGGCAATAGCAGGTAGCAGCACGTAGTAGCAAATGGTGGTCATGGTGGTGGTGGTGGTGGTGGGTCGTGCCAATGGCTATTTGTAGTGGTAGTGGTAGAAGTCGTTGTCGTGGCAGTAGTAGTAGTAGTAGTAGTAGTAGTAGTAGTAGTAGTCGTAGTAGTCGCAGTAGTCGTAGTAGTCGTAGTAGTCGTAGTCGTACTTTTGTGACCCAGAGGTCAGCTTCCTCACCCAGCCCCCAGTAACCGCCTGCGGTGATGTCTTTCCCAGGCCAAAACACTGGTGTGGCGACGGGCACGCCGCTCTCTGCTTGAAGAGATGCCCCAAGCCGTGCAAGCGAAAGTGACCGGAAAGCCCCGCGTACCGGTGTGTCCGGGCCCGTTGGCAATGAACTGGCAAACAGTCTGTGAGGCACTCCATCAGTGCCAGCTGTCCGGACATGCGAGGCTTTGCAAGGCATCAGCATAACTCTCATGCTTTGAGATGCTAGCTTCGGCAGTCGGGCATCAGGTGCTCACCAACTTGCGATTATGGCTGTGGCGCCATCCACGGTCTTTCGTTCTCCGCACTCTCAGCAGTTGCATCCAGCCTCCCTGCACAATGGCCGGTGCCAGGCACCCACTGAAAGAGTGGCAGTCCCTTGTATGGACAGCGACAAAACATGCGCTCGGCGAGACAGGAGCTTGGCTGCCAACGTTTCTTTCGGTGCAGAGCACGCCAGCATACACTGAAGCAGTCGAGCATGGCATCGGCGAGGGCGCGGGTTGGTGGTTTCTAGGGCACGGGTTGAAGGGCGGGCACGGGTTGAAGGGCGGGCAAGTAAGGTTAAACGGCACTGACAACATAGGGAATGCTAAAAAATGAAATGGGTACGGAGCGACAGGGCTACAGTGCGACAGACGACAGGATAAGGACCAGGGACGACCTCAAGGCAGGTGCAGGCAGCATGCAGTGCAAGGTAAGGCAAGGACAGGACAGCAGCAACCGAAGCAAGCAGCAACGCAGGTAAAGCAAGGGAAAAGCGGTGCAGTGAAACATGGTAAGAGTGCTGGCTTGCATGCTTACGCCTCGAAATCTTTCAGTAGCTTGCGATGTGCACGGCACGCTACGCAATAGATAGGTAATCCTTGAAAGAGATGTAGAGCGGGCAAGACTTCCACTAGTTTTATTTATATTCTGAAGATCAGTGGACTGGTCAGGCCAAGGCCACCAATCGGCGGGGGCTCTCTCATTTCCTTTATGATGTCCACCGCCAAGCGCCACTGGCGGCAGGCGACGTGCGGCACGTAGCTCTGCTCGTAGCACGGTGATACACATGGCTTGCCATCCCTGGTACTGGCGGTTCCACTCAGATATTTCCAGGTTTTCCATATTCCAGTCTCACCTGGTGCAACCATGACGGAAATGTCGTGCGCAGAATTTGCCCCTCCAGCTCTTGACGATGAGTTTCGTCCAGACTGGTCAGCAAGTTCTCCATGCGATCGATGCGTCGGCGTTGCCCAGTTATGACTCTTTGCTGCTCACGCAGGACACTGGCACGCACAGCATTACGTGCGTTGCTCATCCCAGCAGTGGCCACCAAGAAGACTTGAGCCGTAGCCATTTTAGTAGTAGTAGTAGTAGTAGTAGTAGTAGTAGTAGTAGTAGTAGTAGTAGTAGTAGTAGTAGTAGTAGTAGTAGTAGTAGTAGTAGTAGTAGTAGTAGTGGTAGTAGCAGCAGCAGCAGCAGGAGTAGTAGTAGTAGTAGTAGGAGTAGTAGTAGTAGTAGTTAGTAGTAGTAGTAGTAGTAGTAGGAGAGTAGGAGTAGGAGTAGGAGTAGTAGGAGTAGAGTAGCAGTAGCAGTAGCAGTAGCCGTAGCAGTAGTAGTAGTAGTAGTAGTAGTAGTAGTAGTAGTAGTAGTAGTAGTAGTAGTAGTAGTGGTAGTGGTAGTGGTAGTGGTGGTGGTGGTGGTGGTGGTGGTGGTGGTGGTGGTGGCAGTAGTAATAGTAGTAGTAGGAGTAGTAGTAGTAGTCGTCGTCGTCGTCGTCCTAGAAGCAGCATCAGCAGCTCTCGCTGAAGTGGGACCCCATCGCCAACGCAGGACCAGCAGCAGCAGGATCAGTATCTCAGTATCAGTATCAGTGTCAGTGGCAGGAGTAGGAACAGCAGTAGCCGCAGCAGCAACAGCAACTTCAGCGCACGCTTGGAAATTATCTCGCTGCTGATGACAAAGATGAAGATGACAACAGCACGGACGGCAATGATATATTCGCAAGAAAAAGGACATGTAATCAACATCAGCGACAAAAGATGACCACCCCCGCCAAATTCAAGTTCTACATCATCACCTTCCTCCACGTCGTCGTCCCGAGCCCACAGCTTCACGGTAGGGCTTATCTTTGAAGCTTTGAGAGACCACTCCGATAGACATGCAGCAGTGGCTGACATCAGAACCCGGACCCCCTGCCTCTTTCAACATTCAGCTCCGGGCATTGATATGCACGACTGCTGGGAGCAGAAAGGCTAAGGTCTTTCCAGAGCCTGTTTCTGCGACACCCACCTGGCACATTCAGGCGAAGCTGCGCTTCGAACGTGAGTGGCCGTCCAAAAACATCTATAAGTCTTTACGTGAACTCTATCTCTGCCTTTGTCTGTCGGTATGCGTGAGGGATGAGGTGTAGGTCCGAGGCCCCAGGCCATGTCTTTGCCAGACAACGCGATGGGCCAGCCCTGGACCTGAATCGGCCTCGAAGGACCAAGAAAAGCACTTTCTGCTGGGGAGTGGAGGGCTTACAGGATCGTGATTGCAGGATTGACGGGCTCGGAGGAGGGTGCTTCCGGACTGTGACAGTTCCGGTGGCCCCAGGCGTGGGACTTTCGCCATTCGCCATGCGCCAACTTATGGAAACATGGTACAAACCTTGCCACATGAGGCTCTGAATGTGTTACTTTCTGTGTATATATATATATATAGATAGACTTAAGATTTATATATGCTTCCCGTAGACTGAACTTAAAAGTAATCATCTTGTAGAGCCGCACTGGTTCTTTCCGGCACTTCTCCCTGCAATGCTGGCTGCATGCCCAGACTCCGCCGATCAGAACTACCAGTACCTGGCTGGGGCGCTGGCGTCGGCTCCTTGAAGCCAGCTCGCTGGATCTGATCGAGGACGTAGTCTGGGAACGAGGCCTATAGACGCGTTTCCGCGGGCAGTGATCGGGACGGAGGGTCTGCACCCTGCAGCGTCCGAAACATCCAAACCCTATGAGACACTTGCAACTCTCAACCCTCCGGACTCTCCAGCCTCTTCAAACGTCCGAACTGGCTTTGGCACGGCGCTGTCACAATGGATCTCGGCGTCCGCAGCAGCATTTAAGGATGAGAAAGTGGGTTTTGCATTAAGGTAGGATTGAGTTTTGAGATGTCTTGAAAAGGCACCAACATTACAGTTAAACACCGCAGGGGCTCTAACAAGTCAACCGTGCCTTTACATAACTCTAATCATGCGCCTGAACATTTCGGGTGCTGGGGCCTGGGAGTTGCAGGTAGTAGGTGGTGTTGTCCACAAGCAGAACTGTCTTAAAGCCTTGCTGGCATTGCTGCTGTTGTTTCCGCAAGCGCTTTGTGCTCTTTTTCCATGCTGTGGCATCCACCCTGAGATGGCCAGGCTACGTCTCATTTCAAATGATGTTTTCGGTCTTCGTCGTGCCATGGCAAGACAACAGCTTCTGTATGGAAAAGCACGGATGGCAACAACATAGCTTCTGGAAATTGCTGCCACGCCAATGCATTGGCTGAAATGGGTATGGACATGTTGCACAGAAACGGGTTCTGGACAAGAACTGCCTGCCGTTCTATTGAATCTGGCGATCTCATGTCCCAACAAATACAAAGCCGCGGAGGGAGCCAGCTGCGGTGCTAGCGTTGCCATCGCCACGGCCAGAAAGTCCAAGATCGTTCGTAGTGCTGACCTCCTTCTCGCGGGAGTGTGCAAAACTGCAGCACCACATCCCGAAGCCATCCGAAGCCAGAGCCTCTTTCCGAAGGCTTCGGGGAAAGCATTTGCAAATCGGGGTTCAGGGCTGCAAGTGTGGCCCAGTGTGGCGCCGTGACCATCTCGTCCCCTTGAGAGGCCCTGCACGTGTTCCAGCCATGGCAGGATGCCAGGGAAAGGCAGCTTGTTCGCTTCGTCGGCCAACCTCGCGCACTCATCCTTCCTTCCTGTAACAAGCACAGCACCTCAATATGTTCAGCAGCAGAAATTGAATCACCGGCCACCATATCATGTGCTTTCACACTTCGCCTCTGCTGTGTGGCAGTGTCTCACGAAAAGGCCCACAGTCTCGATGTGGGACGTGAAAGGGAACATGTCGTAGCCTTGGCTTGCTAAACCTGCTTCTCAGCCTCCCGTCGTGACTGCAACTGCATGCCAATGCTAAGCTTCGAGACGAGGAAATCGAAGCAAAATTTGCTTGGGCCTCCCGCGAAACACTTGACGTCGATGAGCTTGAAGGGCTGGCCCGCGCCCGAGTCTCCAGCCTCCTGACATTGTTTGGGCTGTTCTGATAACTTGAAATACCCCTTTCGCAGGTTGACAGACCTGTCACCATGGTCGCAATTCGATCAGTTCATGGTCACAAACACCAACATTCAGGTCTAAGGTGTGTCTCAAAGGCAATCAAACGTAGTCTTCCTGTGCCTACCCTACTACCCTACCTACCTATACCCCTGGACTCAGTCTGATTCAGTATGATCTACAGCGCCTTACGAAGGTACTGTATGGAGGCAATATAGCATAATCAAGCAGCAATGCATTGGTGTGTTCGCAAAGAATAATGAAAGGTCGCATAGCGATATCATGCACATCCTGCGCACTGGCGAAGTTTGTAGCTTGATTGTTGTCGCTGTTGCTGCTTGTTGGTGTTGGTATTTGCTGTTGCTCTTGCCGTTACTGCTGCTGTTGGTGTTGGTGTTGGCGCTGCTGTTGCTGATGCTGCTCAGTTTGTGCAATAGTTGCCGTGTCGTGGTCGTGGTGGTTGTTGTGGTGGTGGGTGCTGTTGTGGTGGTGGAGGTTGGCAGCGACTGTTGCTGTTGTTGGTGTTGCTGTTGTTGCAGTTGTGGCTTTTGTTGCTGCTGTTGGCTGTTGGTGGCAGGATGTTGGTGATTAGATGGTGACTGTTGGTTGTTCGCTATATGCTGTGTGTGATGTGCTGTCTGTTGTTCATTTTTCGGTGTTGTTGCTGCTGTTATTGATGTTGGCTGTTGATTGTTGGTAGTCGTGTGAGTTGTGTGTTGTCGCTCTTGCTGTTGATGCTGCGGTTGTTGGTGGTTATCGTGGTGGGGCATCGTTGTCGCTTGTTGTTGTTGTTGGTGGTGTTGTTTGTTTGTTGTTGCTTGGTGTTGTTTGTCGCGGCTTGTTGTTGATTGTTGGCGTTTGTCGTTGTCGTTGTGGTTGTTGTCATTGATGTCGTTGTTGTCGTTGTTGTTGCTGCTGCTGTTGTTGTTGGTCGTGTTGCTGTTTGTTGTTGTTGTTGTTGCTGTTGGTGTTGCTGTTGTTGTTGTTGCTGTTGGTGTTGTTGTTGTTGTTGGTGGTGCTGGTGTTGCTGCTGATGCTGTTGTTGTTGTTGTTGCCGCTGTTGTCGGCATTGGTCGCTCATTACTGGTAGTTGTGCATTGTCGTTGATGTTGTTGTTGTTGCTGTTGCTGGTGTTGTCGCTGATGTTGTCGGCTGTTGATTGTTGCACTTGCTTGGCTGACTGGCTGACTGGTTGATTGTTGATTGTTGTTTGCTGCTTGTTGTTGTTTTGGCGGCTTGGTGTTGATGTTGTTTGTGGCTGTTCTTTTCAGCCTGTTGTCTTGTGTTGTTGTGTGATGCTGTCTGCTGTTGTTGGTCGTGGTGGTGGCTGTGGCAGTGGTGCTGGCGGGCCGATTTCTTGAGATCTGCCGCGGATGGAATCAGAACCGCAAAGCCTCATTCTATTGTAATCGGAAGTTGGCAGCGCAGAAATGCGGTGCTGACAAAATACTCTCATGTGTACTGTATAACTTCCAGAGAGCCCTGTTTTGTTCGATCGGCGCAAATCGCAAGTTTGCGACGTGTTCTCGGTACAAGTTCATCTTATTGCGGAATTTAGCTAAAACTTGCTGCGACATGGATCTGAATCAAACTGGCCTCACCACAAGCCGTGAGCTGAAGGGCGTCCTTTCGGAAGGAGCTGTGCCCACAGCCTAGGTGCTTGACTCTGTCTGCTTCTAAATCACTTACCGCTGCCACCAGAGTCGCTACAGCTATTCCGACTCGCCGCTACTGTATAAGTGCTAATGACCATTATAGTCATACGCAAGAAAGAAGCAGTTGTTTTCCCGGTTGCGGTAGTAGTAGTAGAGTAGTAGTCGTCGTCGCCGTACAAGTGAAGCAGACTACAAACCACCGCCAGCACCACCACTGCGACTGCGACTGCCACTGCAACGGCCACCAACTGCTAGTACTACTGTATAGTAGTGCTGCTGCTATTCCAGAGCGCGATCGAGCAGCTCATGTAGATGAGCAAGTTGAGGTCGGGCATGGAGCGTATCAAGCTCACGCAGGCGTCGTCCTTCTTGCGGCCCCTCGGAGCTAGGCCAGTGCGGGGCGGATCCACCACCAGAATGTGCGGGCCTCTGTCGGCATCGGCGAGCCGCTGCAGAACTTCCTGAACTGCAATGTGCGATGAGGCGACGACCATCGGCCAAGAAACGACAGCTTTCAAACCCTTGAGACTTAATGCTTCTTGTCTCGGCGCTCAATCGCATGCCGTATGCATGTGGGATGAGCACATACAAGCCCTGCAAAGGACATAACAAGCTTGGAGTGCCAACGAAGCTTCGTCCGCAGCGAGCGGAGAGAAGCTGACAGTTTGTCTGAAGCTGCAGTCCTCGCCTAGGTCCCGAACTTGCATCTGTAACTTGAGAAAGGTGTCAGTGCTTCGAACTTCCAATTGAAATCGTTACCTGGACTCCTGGACTCTTGACCTGGCATGCGGTCTGTCATCTGCCGCTGAAGCACTCACGACTTCGAGGTCCGGGACGATGTTGCGGGCATTGGCAGCGAAGGGTGCTGCACATTTCGGGTTCTCATCCGAGCTGAGGAGAGCAACAGAAGCCCAGCCACGGCTGGTCGCCAAAGCGTGTGCAAGACTCAGGCCGATCACACCTTGCGAATGCGACGCGGCTTGCGGGAACTTCCTAAAAGATTCGCGGGGCCCCGTCTCCGCCTACTCCGGAGTGAAGCTCCAGCAGACGCAAAGGCTCCTCCACGAGCTCACTCCCCGTGACGAAACTCTTCATGTTGCCTCAGTGATGCATTCGTTCTGCTCTTGGTCGGGATTCTGGTCGGGAGCAGGTCCATGGTTGGGGATTCTGACGGTACGCTTCTGACCCTGTGTCGGCCCGGCTCAGGCGGTAACCCGACACAAAGCTAAATCCTCAGTCATAGCAAAGCAACGGAGGATCTCCTCAAACACGGCGAGGTTGGCCTGGCTTCAGGTCTCGAAAGAGAGCGCTTGAGAATTCAATACTTCGTGCAGCAGTAACATCGGGAGAACGAAGTCTCGGCTTCAAGCAACACGCGGCCGTCTCTCCCTCTCTCTCTCTCTCTCTCTCTCTCTCTTCTTCCTCTCTCTCTCTCTCTCTCTCTCTCTCTCTCTACGTGCTGTGGCAATGTATGCACCTCTCTAGTGCATGCCGCTCTTGCTAGCAAGCTGAAATAGCATGCAAGATGTGCAACATGACTGCTTGGATGGAGTTGCTTGGAATCCTAAACTCTGATGACTTTGCTGTTGTGTCTTGTACCTATGGAACAACCAAGACAAGCATCGTGAGTCGAGGATGGGGATGATGATGCTCATACACGACTGCTCATCCCACTATGTATCCTAGTGACATGTGACATGTCCCGGCCTGTTGGAAATTAAAGGGCCCGAAGGTGAAGTCGAGGCCATCTAAGGTCTCCCAAACGAATCCAGGACGCCTTCCTTTGCTCTAAGGCGTCGGGGACGTTCGAGTCTGGGTTTCTGCATGATTGAACTTCTCCGTTCCCGCCACCTAGTCTGCGACCTGATCAACCCCACAAACCCCAAAGCCCTTCAGAAGGCTCACCAAACAACTCCGCCACGCGGCGTCCGCCGGCCAGGGCGCGAGGCCGTGCCAGCTCCCACGCCGAGGTCTCCTTGTTTGAAGGGGTTGGGCCTGGGCGGTTCAGGTTAAAGTGTTTGCATCTGTTGACAATGTCCTCGTTCTCCGTGTGATCCGGTGAATCATATGCTTGACTCGTTTCGCTTTCTTTCTCGGGAGACGTAGTAATTATGGCCGCAAGTGTGGCCTCAAAGTGCCAGTGACGCAAGCACATTGATGAACGACATTCAGAATATATCAATGCTATTGTAAACGCAGCATGAGGCATCCTATGAAGATCATGGGAAGCAAACTCACACCAAATCTTCCGAAGCCTAACCACCCCAAGGTTTGCAGACCTATCAACGTTCATGCGACCGGTGAGAGGTAGTGTGTGCTGTAGGCATATCAAGCAAGACCCTCAGCGCCCCAGGCGGACGAGCCGGAATCCCTTCGGCAAGGTCTCCAGGGCGAAAACGAAGTTCCCCAGGTTCGGTTTGGGCTCACGCCAGTGGATCCTGAAGCTCTCAGACCAGCAAACGTGTCCCTCTACGGCCCCACTGAGTCTGCAGAGTCATGTGTGGCACCCGGATGCAACGACTGAGAGGCCCATCAAGGCGCAAAGACTGCAAGCCGACAAGTAACCGCCTTCTTGAGTCGCCGATGGCACTTTTCAGCCAGTCTGAGTAAATAGAGAACGAGCATTTCTGGTGCACCGAATAATTTCGCCACAGCTCCAAATCGAGTGCCATACATCTCCCGGTTCATCATCATCCCACCTGACATGTCCGTCGCTTCATGCTGCTGGTCTGGCTGCATGTGCAAATTGTGCCAACCGCAACGTAACGAGCTCGAAGAAACGACAGCATCTGGCCGAAAGCAGCTTAAAGAAGTTCCATCGACAGCAGTGGCAACTTGAATAAATCTACCGCCGTGCCCCCCCCCCCCCGTCCCAAATGCTGACCCATCCAAGTAGCAGCATCTCCACCAGCCGTTCAAGGGCAGGAATCGCCGGCCCGCGTTTGCGATTCCAGACCAGAACGAGCTGCACTTGATTCGATGCCCTGAGAACTGTTTTTTCTTTCCGTGGGATTTTGGCTTGGGGGCTCCGGGCACATGGGGCTTGCGGGGCTTGCATTGCAGCAAAGGCAGACGCTGCTCTTCCCGAAACGTCTAGTTGAAATCAACCTCTTGCAAACTGTAGCAGAACGAGGCAGGAACAGTAACGGATCCATTTCATTTCTGACAGACCCGGAGTTATAGGACACGATTATCAATCACCACTAGTTTCGTTGCCATAGTCCTTGGAAGGATAGGTTCGGGCCTCTCCACCGTCAGCTGCACGAAGCGCAGGGCGCCTTGGCTGCTCTGCGCGGAGCTTTTGACGCCGGGCTGGTAGATGGCCAGAGCTTGGAAGCGATCCTGAGGCAAACGAGGGCACAAGAATGGGATGCAAACAAGATAATATCTGCTATACTTCTGGTCATCTTGCTGCTCCTGCGCACTTTATTGAGAATGCTAGGACCAGCACCAGAACTACTTGGTTGGTATAGCAACATCTTTTACCGCGTCACCACCATCATCATCATCAGCAGCACTACCACCAACATAATTCTTATCCACACGCTTCTTCTCATGGTGATGGTGGCTCTCGCGTCGTGTAGGTGAGGAGCTGATCGAATCCACAAATACGTTACGTTCACCTTTTGCCCGCTTGCTGAGCGCCATAACTGAAGATATAACTGCTGCTGACATATACTGCCTATGCCTCATCGTTCGATCGTGTAGGCAAGTTCCCATTTAGACCTCTCTGTGAAGTCGCGGCTCCAGGGTCCCTTTCAGTCGCCGCAGCGCAACCCTCAGGGTGGGATGCAAGGCGGCGCAGCCGAGGGCGGGCAGGACCTCCTTGCATTGGTTCTGAAAGTTTCCGACATGTTGGGCGAGGCATGGCGAGGCTCTCGCATAGATTCCAAATTTCCTAAAGGTCCATGGGGTTCCATACAAAACTGTTTCACGGAGTTCGCAACATAGGGAATCCGATGTCGGGGTCTTCTGAAGGAACCGCCCTCGCATAGAAGCAGGCCTGCGTGCCACGCTTGAAGAGCCCGAGCACCACGCCGTCCTCCGTTTCTTGTGCAACTCTTTACGAAACGAATACACAAGCCCTCTGCCACCTGCGTCTGCAAGCCACGATAAACAGCAAGAGTGCTGATGAAGGCGATCTACGAAGCCGGCCACAAAGAGTCGTGGAAACCCGACAAGCCTTGCTCGGTGCAACCGCGAGCTTTGCACGGGTGCGATGGCCACAGGGCTCGGCTGCGACAACCTGTGGGAGATTGCTTCTACAAAACATGTGGCATCGTGACTCCAGACATGCTTGTGATATGATGCGATGCCTGCAACCTCGGCGTGTGAACCATGCCCGAATGGGTCAGGCCTTCAAACACGAAAACCCAATTCGTAGTAACTTCAAAACCCCAGTAGCAACTAGAGGCCCCACAAGTAAGCAACCGGAAAACTTTGCCGCCGACCTCGGGCGGAGTTCGCTCTGAAGCTCTCTGCCAGTCAGTCAGCCGTCGGACAGCTGGGTGATGGAGCTGGTAGTCCTTGATGGCGAGGCAGTCAATCAGGGATTCACTTCTTCGGTCTTCGCAATCTCTGCATCCGTCTACCATTTACAGGGTACCGTCTATAGCGGGTCCTTCATGTTCGGAAGTCTCAACCCCAGCCTCTCAAGGACATGATACTTCTTTTGGCGTTCCTCTACCGTCATGTGGAAGCATATGTGCATCCTGCTTGAGACTCATAATTGAATTCAAAAAAGCATTGACCGGGGCTGGTCGCTGCATCAGAGCAGCCAGGACGAGAACTTTCCGTCGTGCGCTAGTTTTTAAAACATGAACTGCAAGACTTGCTGAAGGCTTTAGGTTCAAGTATAGCGCTATCTGCGACGACAGCAGTGTCCTCGTCAGTCTTGAACGGGTAGTTCTCTGCTTGCGTTGCGCATGTCTGAGTACACGATCGAAAAGCAAATCAGCATTCATCTGACTACTGCCCTGGGGCACGTTGCACAGCTGCGATTGAGAGCCAGGCGCAACCGTTCTGCTTGCAGCCGGGTGCATCACGAAGTTGCAATGCGTGTCGCCTGTCTCTGTGGTTTGAGATGATCAGCTACACAAAGCAATCTACTTGCATGCTGCGTTGTCGTCGTCTCGCTTGGGCCCTGCCTTGTCTGCCTACTCCGGAAAAAGATCGACGAAGCGATTGCCTAAGTTCTCGAACCACAGCACGTCCTGCTTTTCGAAGTTTTTGGCCAGCGGGTTCTTCTTGCTTGCATGAAGTTTTCGGGGTTTGGGGGTTGTATTCCAGCTTGATGGGGCAAATCTCCACCAAACGACTCTGCAATAAGCCTGATAGTGGCCTTGATCACGCCGTAACCATAATCAGCCCACAGTTACCATTGTAGACCTAAGTGGTAGTATGACACCCAACTGCCCTGGCACCACGCATTGCTCCGATACTGCGAGTGGCCGCTGCACAGCCTGCTCGTAATGGCATCCGCCCATCAGCAGTCTTCCACCTTGCGCTGCATGATGTGATCAGGATAAGCAAGAACTTGGGAGGTTGGGGCTCGGCTAACGCAAGAATGGGCATTGGGCGGCCGTGCAGCCAACCGGCCGCACTAGTCACAGGTCCGGCTGCTATGCAAAAACAATCGACGCAGAGGCCCTGGCCCTGGCGTATCCAAACCACAAGACTCGAACCATGCCGCATGCTCACAACTCACTTGCGATGTCTCAATCAAGGAGCTTCTCCAAATAGCTATCTGCGGGTGGCTGCGCGCATACACCGCAGCAGAAGGCCCGCTCTCGATGCACCGTATGGATGGGCACACGCCATGGAATAACAGCCGTACCGTCCATGTCAGTGTCCAGCATGCATGCAGGCTAGATGGGAACTGCGCCCTCACGAGGACACGGCTGCGGAGCCCAGTAGCTTGACATGCAAAACTACCACAGGCCGAATCTGAAGCTCACGAGATGACAAGTCTGAAACACCAGACGAGGCGTGTATGGCGGAATTCGAACAAGCTAACCAAATCGAAAACGAACCGGATAATAACTCATGTCACAAGAAGGATCATATGTACTGACGGTTCTGACCTGGATGATGGTGCACATGGCAAGCGGCAATGAAATGGCTCTGCCGCACATACGTATTGCATGCGGGGAACACGCTGGCATCGACAGGATGTCACGACCGGATGAGATATGATTAGATCCCGGGCCCTGCTAAAGTTAAGCTGAAAGCGAACAGGCACCCTACGAAATTGCCCAGGCACAATCTCAACCTCTGGCTGGCAACAATCTGGGTCGCTGGCAATGGAGATATTTTTGCTTTTTCTGATTCTGTCCTGAGATCGCCGGCTTTTGAGAAATTGCCAACGCTTTGTGCATTGCTCTGCAGAAAGATCGATCCATTTAAGTGCTGGCTTTCGTCTTGAAAATGGTCGTTCACGAAACGGAACCTTCGTCTGCTCTGGCTGCAGTGCTCCAAGCGTCTGCTTCCTCCTCAGGCATGGCGCTCACGGCTGGATGTACCTGGTAGAAGTCCTGCGGCAGTGAACTTCGGCTTAACTTCTTCCAAACACAGCCATCGTAGTTCTGATGGCCCGCAGCAGGAAAGTTCTTCTACCTATCACTGCAAGGCGACCACTGAGAAAACGTGGCGTTAAAAGCGTGGGGCGACTCCTTCTCGAACTTGGTGAGCTTCTCCTGAACATACGCTTTCGCTACAAGAGGCTTGGTGATATAGTCACTATAGAGAAAAGTTGAGAAGAGATGCTATAGGGGCCCTAGCTAGAAAGCTTGGGGCCGGCGGTTCTCGTTTGTTGACAAACCGCAAAGAACAAAACGCTCGGGAGCCCAGATGCGATCGTCTGTTGCACTGAGAACAAGGGGGAACTGTACCACGGGGATGCGAGGACGAAGCTCGTTGCTCAAAGACATGCTGACATGAACAAAGCATCGAGTCGCCGTAGCTGAAATCCACCAACAGGACGGAGTGAACATTTGCCTAGATTAGTTCTGTGCTTCGGTTCAAAGATGTCAGAGTCAAGGCACCTGCCCGATGCAAAAAACAATTCCACATATCCCCTCTTCTCCGCATTTGCCCTGCCCTGCCGTCTCCAACTAAAATGGCATTGGACTCCCCCAACCAGCGCGCCCAAGAATCCGGGCCTCACCCCAGCTGATTTGGCGAAGGCTGCTGCCCAGGTCTTTGCTATCATAGGAGCCGTAGCCGCCACTACCGCCCCTGCAACAAGTATAGCAAACAGTGCAGTTGAGGGGATGGGGCTGTGGGCACAAAGGC